GGCCCAAGTCGGGACAGAACGACGGTGCACGGTGCGTGCTAGCTCCTGCTGCTTAGCTATCGTAGGTGGCTACTCGGTTGGGTGATATAAATGCGCGAATACGAAACGAACCTGCGAAGGCTGGCACTAGGCATGAACTAGCTTGGAGCGTCTTCTCGCTTGTGAACATGTAATATTTAATAATCTCGTATTGAATCAACAATCTTCCTCGCTCTGCTGTCTCCCCTGCAATCTGTCAGCCTAAATATGTCTTTGACCGTTGTGTTCTAAAGCTCTGAGAGGACATCGATGATAATGTTTTTTGGCAATTATAACCCTTCAAACCCCTTTCATAGACTCCAAGATGGCTCGAGCGCCAGCAAAGTCCAGCTCGGCGAGTGTTTCGTCCCAGACCCGCTGCGTCACGATCGTGCCCTCGGGCGTGTACAGGAAGGCGGAGAATCTGTCAAATGCCATTGTTAGCAACAAATCCGTATGAATGTTGTCAGCTAGGAGTCAAGGCAAGCAAAACTTACGGATGGATCTTCCAACTCATTAGAAAACAACCATGCGACTCCTTGCCCTTGTTGACAATCGCGTCGATGAAGCACGAAGCGCCGACCCTCTTGGTCCTTCCCGTCGTGGTGCCAAAGAGCTTGACAGCCAACTTCATCGGCCCTTGCACATCGCGGGCAAGCTCAGTCCCCTTGCACCAGGCGGGATCGGCGAGGTTCACAATCACGTCGTCGGCCGAGACGTAGTCCACCAGGTTCCAGAGAAAAATGTGCGCCAGCAGCTTGGACGAGTGGTAGTGTTCCTCGCGGTCGAAGGTAGCGGGGTCGTCGAAAGAGGGAAGCAGCGGGATGGCGGCGCGGTTAGGGAACTTGGCGGCGAGGGTGAGGGCCGCGCTGACGATGGTCAGACGCGCGGGCGGACCGCTTGGTTGGCGCTTGGCCTTGAGGATTGGGAGGAGGAGGACGGCGAGGAGCATCGTCGAGATGTAGTTGACCTGGAGCGTCTCTTCGTGACCAGTGCTTGCGACGGTGCCAAATGTCAGCTTGATGACACCGGCGTTGAGGAGGGCGATATCAAGTCGGGACAATTGGGACTCGGCGCGGCGGGCGAAGGCTTGGACTGAGTCGTACGAGCTCATGTCGAGGGGCCAGACTTCGATCATCGCTCTAGGATGTAGCTTGCGGAGCGCGGCGGCGGCAGAATTGCCTTTCTCGGGGGAGCGGACTGCGAGAATTAGTCGTGATAGTTTGAGGTCAAGAAGCTGAACCGCGGCTTCGTAGCCTAGCCCAGTGTTGCCCCCTGTGACGATGGCTGTCTGGCCTAAGAGAGTCATATCTGGGGCGGGCCATTGTGGTTTGGCGCGGAACTGGTTGTTGAAGAAGACATTAGGAAAGAATGGAGTGGTTGAAGGCGGCAGGTCCTTGGAGCCAACCATATTGCCGTCTGTTCTAGCAAGGGCTGGGCATATAAAGAGAAGGGGGGAGGAAAAGAGGTGAAAAGGATGCTGTCACTTTTCCAGAAAATGAAGGACCCGAATTGTCCCTTGAGCCGACATATATATACTCCTGCATTGTGACAGCCTTATTGCGCTGTTGGGAGGATTTGTTTCTCTGACCATCACGGAGATACCGGCCCCGTGGAGGCATACCGCGTAATTTGGGAGACCCAAGATTGCCCAGTTCCTCTTGCTACACTGTAACCACCAAGGTGCCCACTACATAGAGGCGGCCAATCATGTTTTGAGTTACCTGAAGGGAGAGCTGGTTATGTAATCCGACCTCAAGAAAAACTCAGGCCCAAAATCCCCAAGGAGCCCGGAAATCCCGGCACGTCACATTTCGCACCGCCCACCCGTCAACAAGCCCCAGCGCCAGCAAAAAGAAGAATCTGACATGCATCAGCCCCGCATGCCGAAACGAAACATCATATCCCATTTCTGGCTTAGATCGTGTCCCAAAACGGCATACAATCTTTGGGTGAGGCGACAATGGATCCAATCCAGTCGTTGCACAGAATCCGCCCACCGAATCCTTCGGTGCTCCCTCTCTTCTCTGCTTCCTCACTGCCACGAATGCGTATTTGTATCTCTTGAGATCACTTGCCGTGTTCAGATTCATTTCTTTGCCGCCCGCCAAGTTTGAGACCCTCCGGACATTGAATGCCGAATTTGGATCAGGACACACGGCGACATGGCTGCAGGCAAAACGTCATCGAGTGAGCAGGTCCGATTCGTCTCTACCATTACTGCCATTGGCGTTAACATATCTTCGGAACAGGCGAGCTGCACTTTCTCGTTTCGACCGGCGTGGAAAAGCCCAACCCTGAGTTACGTAGGTTCATCCGAAGTCATGTGATGCTCGGCAAGAACCTTGGTCGCGCACTCCCCCCTCGAACGACACGGCGGCGAAGGAGGAAAGAGAACGTAACTCCCAGCTCTACAGGCGACGTCGAAGGACTTGACAAGGACCAACTCGAACCCTTGCCTTCCTTGAACTCCCTTTCAAGAACCCACCGAGTTCTCCCGATTCCGGAAGTCCCTCGCAAGTTTGGCTCGAACATGTCATCAATCCGTTTTACCGAGACTATAGACCCTGAGGTTGTCGAGGTTGTTCTGCAATGTTTGTAGGATCCAGCACTACCAATTTTATCCGTCTCCCATTTCGCTGACCCATTTGCGCAGTCTCTTCCATCGCCAAGCAGGTCCTCTTTCCCTTGGAGAGCTGTATCCTCTTTGAGCGACGGGCAGAAGCATGGATTGCACCCCTGACAATAGACCCCGCCTTTCTTCACACCATGATCTTTACATCGCAATACTACTTCGACGCGGTCCTTCCCCAGAGACCTTCTTCTGAGATGAGCCAGCGCTCGCTTCCGCACTATACGAAGACGTTGAAGCTCCTCCATGAGCGGTTCTCAGAGACCGGCGATGAACAAGCGAGACTGTCTTTCACGACTGTAGCCGCAGTCATGGGTCTAACCGGATACGCCCACCTGATGGGGGACACCCGATCTGCGAGGCATCATCTGAAGGGACTTCACAAGATTGTCACACTGAGGGGCGGGATAAGTACTCTGAGGGGTAGCGCCAAGCTGCTTGTTGAGATACTCAGGTAGTACTTTTCTCCCTTCACATCTCCTAAGAAAGGAATTGGCCCGACTGACCCCATCCACGACAGGTGCGACATAGGCATGGCCCTTCACGGCGGCACCGAGCCCATCTTCTTTCACGAGGCGTCTGAGCCATTCGTGGCCTACCCAGACTTGACACCATTCCTGGAGTTGCAACGAGGCTCCTCCAGCAGCGATTCATTCTGCAACAGAGTCGTGCCCTTCGAGGACATGAACGATGCCCTTGCCCGGGCTTGGAGCGCGATGTCAGAGTTCTGCACTTTGATCAACTTCGCTGCCGAGTCCAAGCAGTACGTCACCACAGACATCTTCTTGGATACGATGGCTTCCGTGATATACCGCCTTCTCGACATGCGCTTCGGCGTCTGCTCAACCGACGAGGCAATCTGTGCTGGACTTCTCGCCTTCTCGTGCAGCATCTTCCTCCAGTGGAGACAGCTGGGCTCGTCCTACCCAAATCTCGCTACCACTTTGAAGGCTTGTCTTTTGAAGCTCTCTTATTCACAGCAGGCATCTGCGCGACAACAGCTGTGGATCTTGATGGCCGGACGCGTGTCGGTCTTTGGCGCAGACGATGATGCTTGGTTGAGGCCGTTGTTGCTTGTCAACATGGGGTGCTGCGAGATCACCTCGTGGAGCGAGATGCAAGAACTGCTCCAGTCGTTCATGTGGATCAGGATGGTGCATGAGAAGCCAGGGAAGGCAGTGTTTGACTCCGCGATGGCATGCTTAAACCCCAACCCTGAACAAGATTCGAACACCCGTGGGGAAATGAAGATGGGAACAAGCTTCGGCGCGGAAAGAAGCCTCTGACAGCCGTTGGGAAGGGGCTAACGGAACGCAGAGAGTGGAATCTCTATTCTTCTTCCTTTCTCCGCCATCTTTCTACTCCTTAGGCGCTCATGTAGGGAGGCAGCTGCGAGGACCTGCTCGCTAAGCTCGAACAACAGCGAGATGTGGTGTGCCTAGGCAGCCTTGCCCATTGAGCTACCCACTGCTAATGATGCTGAAATACACAGCGGCTAATTCCTGCCAAAGAACAGAAGGTGCCCTTGTTGGCAGAGTTGCGAGCCCATATCATGCTGCCATTCATAGCCGATCTATCAGCCAGTACTCACGGGCGTCATCGTCACTGAGATTCATGTCGCAAGCTCTGAATCATATGAAGCCAGTTGTATATCTCCCAGCCAAACACAGCAGTCCTGCCTCCGTCAGCACGGTGGACAGTGACCAGCACAAACCCCAGTCACTGTTCAGGGTTCCTTGCAGCCAATACCCATCACGATTCCGCTACCCTCCCGGAGAGCGTCTTCGCTGCCATACAATCCTTCGCGGCACTTTCACTTCCTGGCCATTGTCCCAGACAATCGATCATTAACCGACAACCCAGCACGAACGACGAAAACTTCAATCCCCTGTGCGTTCAGAATCGGGTTACTCTTCAGCGAAAGGAAAATGGGCATTAAATCCATGAACACTCGTGCTCAGACGAGCCTGACGACAACTGAGCTAACCACGTCTAAGAATGTTGAATTTCCTTGACAGGTATTGACTGCTTTACAAGCCCCAAACAATACCAACACCGGCAGGACCAGCATGAATGGCGGAAGCGGGCATAGGAGGTCCGCAGGGTCATGTACATATGAGGATAGTTAGTTGTAATAATGTTAAAAGCCGCGAAGTATTATCTTTCCGTCAATCGTGATCTTTGTGGCCTGATGTTCAGTTTAGATGCCCGATCATCCTCTCCTTATGCTGATGTGTAGAACTGGATTGTAGATCTTTCTGGGCGAAACATTTCACATAACTCAACGCCGAGAAAAATAAATCATTAAAGATGAGAGATGAAATCATCTAGGGAGATGGGATCAAAAATATGGACTAGCCCGGGATTGAACCGGGGACCTTTCACATGCTGTCATCTCAACATTGCGAAGCGAAAATCATACCACTAGACCACTAGCCCTGTAATACTGATATGCAACTAGACGGATCCACTACATCATGACGTCCGCCTAGCGAAGGAGGGCAGGTGGATTTGACTTTGTCATCATCCGTGATATTGTCGAGATCTTTCGCAAGCATGGCCTCGAAGTTGCCTACACATCTGTTTGAAAATAGTTGACCCATATTACCCATCCCTGCTGCTCTATGGCTGACACTCTGATAGATTGCATTGCCCCATACCAAGTAGCTCCACCATAAACTATTACGCTATTTTCCTGTACAATGACACAAAGTGTCTCAGCAAAACCAGAGATCGTTTCCTTGACATGATAACGGTTCCTCTTGTCATCCTGATATACAGCTCTATGTCCGCCCCTAGCTCCCTAGCTCAAGCAGTCTGGAAAGTATCTCCGCCCCATCGGTACGCTCGATTCAGTCTCTGCTCATAGATAGGGATAGAGTATCCCTCGATGTGAGACTTGTGCGGGCGGTGGACCGTGAACGGCTTCTGCGCGGTCATAGTAGCTGGGGGTAGAAGGTATACATCGAGCCAAACTTTGGCATGACAGTAAAGGCCAGCTCGGCCAAAGCAGCCCCAAAGGCAGCCCAGCTCACCGAGCCACGGCCAAGGCCTTGTTACATAGACTCGAGAATACCTCGGCTGTCGATGCGCCGACTTTAAAGGTCTCGGCCGGCTTAGCTGGCGTCTTGTCCAACTCCGGGCTGCTCTTTACTAGCGGTGCGATCTCGAAGGCGGACGAGTCGGACGGGCGGGTCTTTCTCCTTCTCCCTGCGCTGTTTGATGCGCTGGTGAGGCTGCTCTGGGATGGTGACCGGCGGGGCCATGTATGCTGTCTTGGCAAGCTTGGCCTTGACTTGCTCATGCTGGCAGTCGAGATCGGAGAGGCACTCCTCGATGAGATCCTGATACAGGAAGCCCATCTTTGTGCCGGCCTTCTCCACGACGAACTGCTCAAAGGTATTCAGAGCACCCTCAGCCATGCCGGGCTGAAGAAGATTGTCAATGGGGACTGCGAAATCGCGGAGGTCGAGATCCTTCTTGATCTTGTTCAACTCGCCTTCCAGGCCCTAGGACCGGGATACAAACATCTACCCTTTCTTCCGGGAGATGTTGGGCATCGAGATGACTGGGGACAGGTCGTGGATGAATCCAATAATCACGGCCAAATCGCACAGAGCATCGGCCTCACTCTCCTCCAACTTCTCTCGCTTGAGCGGGTGAGAGGTGTGCAGGTCGCTCAGCTTGGTGATTCACTCCACTGCCTTTGAGGGTGTCGTATCCGGTTGGCACAGGCGTAGGGTGTAGTGGAGTTGGGGGTCCGATCAGGTGAGGTCCTCGGGCTTACCCTTCATGGTAACACGCGCATTAACGGCCTTGTTGTAGGCGTTCGACATGCGCTTGAACCACTTGTTGCCGCCCGAGAAAGTCTGGGCCTGGCGTCTGAACGAGCTCTGAGCGCGCTCGTACTCCAGGTTGCAGATGTTGGACAGCTCTTGGAGAATGATGGGTCTGAACACCTTGTCGTCAGTCGAACCAAGGAGCTCGAGAAGGCGTCTGAGGTAGTTCCAGATTGCGGTTTGCTTGACGGCGTCGTGGACGGTATCAAAAGCAGCAGCGCTGATGTACTTGTCGGCATGAACGGGCAAGGACCGGCCCTTCTCATCGGGCAGAAGCTGGGACGGGTGAAGAAGGAGATGTTGACCCCGTGAGCGAGCACAACGGGATGCGAGGAGAATAAAGCCAGCTGTGCCTCGAGCGCATTCTTCTGGTCTTGGGCGATGGCAACCAGCTCTGGAAGCGACTGCTGGACTGGACGTGGCTTGAGGCTGAGTTTGGAGACGGCGGATGCGAGCAATGCCTCCTCCTTCTAGGGCGCTTGCTTTTGGTCCCGGGTGCTGGAGCCTTGCTCCAAGATGTCATCGATGATGATGTTGAGAGACTGCAGCAAGTAGACCTGGCGATTAAGGATCAGCTCGCCGGTTGCACGGGGGACGCAAACTTCATAACCCGTCGAGTTCATCGTTTGGATGGTCTCTTCCAATGCGCGGCTGTCATTGACGATGTACTACTTGCCGTACGTCTCCTCTTCAAGGAACATGGTCATCTTGTTCTTGAAAGGCTTGGCAGAACGGAGGTTCCTTGTCTGCATCATGCTTCGGATCCACGGCAAGTCTCTCTCGCCACACTGTATCTGGAGGTCGGTGGAGGTGCGGTACTCCAGCATGTCGAGAAGGAAGTCGGCTTCTTCCGTCACGTCTTTGAGATTCCACGCTGGGATGATTTTATACACTTCCCTCACGGAGGCATCTTGAGCGTGTTTCAGCACAACGCCGTCAGCTGCACCTGCCTTCATGCATGCCGTTGCGCTGTTTGGGAGTGAAGGAGCGCCAGAACTTGTCGACAGCAGCGCCATGCGCCGAAGGTCTATGTGGAGCTCTCGCGCCACATCGTCGAGCGATATGTTTGCCATCGTATTCGTGAGTGTGCTTTGGTAGTATTAGGATGCTTAGGTTAGGTAGTATTGTGGTTGATGGGTGTGGTGGGGTGAGCTCTGAAAACCAGGTCGAAAAAGGAAAGTTTTGAAGGCTAGCTCTGAGGTGGACCCTGCGGCTAACCTGTTCAGGTTGTGGGCTCTCGTGAACATGAAAAACCGTTGACGCCATTGGCCGTCATTCACCCAGTTGATTGTTGGATGACTATCCGTACGATGCGTCCAATATTTCACCAGCGGTGTAGGTATTCATAACCTCCTTCTCAGGCTGCGTCATCAGAAACTAGTGTAAAAAGCCGGAAGGATGCATATTAGCACGATTAGGCGCACTTCGGTGACACAGAAGGCACGTTTCGCCAGTTTGTGAAATGATTTTGCAGACCTCTATCTCGCCACCGTAGGTATTGAAGATAACAAATCTGTCGATGTCCGTAATTGTGCCCGAATCTTTAACATCCCGTCCCGCATGCCGTTTGAAGATGTAGTTGGGAATGGATACTCAGTACGCTCTTCTTAGAACAACATGAGGGCCTGAGCTTTTGTCTTTGAGCCAGCCATCACTTTTTTATTGCCCAAGTATTAAAGGCGTTCCATATATGCACAAGTCAAAACAGCCTGATGATGCTTCTAGCAGAGGCCTCGCGCCAGGATTACAACCGGGCTCCCAGTGCCTCAGCGTACATGACCAGAATGTTTCTCGGGAAGTGGAAACTGTATCAATTGGCCTATCTTACGTCAATTCACTTATCAGATTTTATTGTCTTTGGGATTAGGAGTGGTTAGCGAGGTTGTCTTTGTAAGGCCAATGTGTCCTCCCTTCTTTCAAACTCCCTCGAACGACTCACTGTAAGTAGTGCTCTGTAATTACAATTTACTAGCGCTCACGGCGGGGAAGGTAAACGCCGCCCAGCCCCCCAACAGCCCCCAAACAGCCCCCCATGGATGGCAGTCGTCCAGCACCCCCTGAAAAGCGAGAACGCGGGATCCGAAAGCGAGAATCCTGACCTTACCCGTCAGCTCAATCGCATCTGCCAAGGCTTATTAGCAATCCCAACCGGCCGAATCACAAATTCCGATGAATCCGATGAGTCCTTAGACTCCCCAGGTATGTTGCCAGCGGTTACTGAAGCTAGGTATGGGTCTAGCGATTCTTCGCAGTCGCCCCAGGATCCTTCGGTTCTAGTTGCTAGTTCTAGGCCGAAGCAAACACGGGATGGGCGGTGCGCCCTCTCAGGATCGGGCAGTGGTTATGTCCTCAAGCAGCCTGGGATGAGCCTCGAATCCACTCTTGTGGATAGCCTCATTGGCCAGCGACCCGAACGAGTGAAAGTCGACCTGTAGCTCGTCGCGCAAGCCTCCACTGAAGAGTCATGAGAGTGCGAGATACTCGCACTTGGAATGGAGTCAAGAATGGAGAGGGCAAGGAAGTAAGTCTCCCTTTGAGATTCATGAAAAGAGTACAAATAGTCGACGCACATCTTGCCACAATTCTTTTCTCTTGTCTATCCAACATCACATCGACTTTTATCTTCCATCACCACACTATCAGCTCGAACTTCCACTCCTGATCAAAATGCAGATCAAGAACTTCATCCTTAACGGCATCTTTGCCATTGCCGCTCTTGCCGCACCAACCCCCATCGAGGGCGAGTCATCCGCGGCCTTGACCGCCAATTCTCCTCTCGACAAGCGTGCGGGCAAGTGCGAAGCCCACATCTACGTCCAGTGTAAGTTACTAAAGTCACTCTTACGCCCCTCATTTCTCAAAGGCACAAAAATGGTGAACTGACACTTGATCTCCCTCCTTGCCTCAAGACAACCACCTCAACCCCGGCGCGCAGTACCACCAAGTCTGGCACGTCGGCGCCTACAACCCCTCGGGCACGCGCATCAACTATAACTGGTACGGGAACACCATTGCCGAGTGGACGGCCGGCGACCCAAGCTACCAGATCAAGGTCAAGACCACCTACGGCCTGGAGCTCTGGCTCAATGGAACGCCTAGCAACAGCGCCGGGAAGAATGCTCTCACCATCCGCTACGGCTCGCAGAACTTCAACTCGGTCAGCTGCTACGGCTACTGGGCCGCCGGCAACAGTGATGGTACGGCATTTGACTGGCGCTGCAAGTACGACTGCTAGGTTGACGCAGTAAAGTTCGTCAGTTGTTGTCAGCCATGATGGAACTACTAGTATCATCTTAGTGTGCAGTGGTGGTTGTTGGGAATACAGATAAAAAGTTAGTCTTTGGTAGAGGGCATGAGCGGAGGATCTATCAGTTTACTGTCTCAAAATACGAATAATATTATGCCGTAACGTATGTTATAAGCGAGCTAGCCATATAAGCGAGTTAGCCACTTTCCGACGCGACGCGCACCCCTTAATATTACAATCCACACACTGAGTGTCTGAACTGCAAGGCAGAACACCTGGAGTTGTTGGGTTGGGATCACGTAAGAAGGGTAAGCTCTTGAACAAGGGGAATTGTCTGATACACAAAGGTGAAT